CCGCCATGCGGCCCAGCAGCTCACGCTCCTGCGGGGGGGGGGGGGGGGGGGGGGGGGCACACCCCCACCCCCACCTCATCAGGACCTCATTCAGGACCTCACTCAGGACCTCATTCAGGACCTCAGTCAGGACCTCATTCAGGACCTCAGTCAGGACCTCATCAGGACCTCATTCAGGATCTTATTCTAAGGACCTGATTCCTTATTTCCGACCCTTATTCCAGAAGCTTATTCAGGTCCTTATTCGGGTCCTTATTCAGACCCTTATCAGGACCTTATTTAGGACCTCAGTCAGGACCTCATTCAGGACCTCATTAGGACCTTTTTCAGGACCTTATTCAGGAATGTATTCAGCTTATTCAGGAACTTATTCAGAACCTCATTCAGACCCTTATTCAGGACCTTATTCAGACCCTTATTCAGGACTTCAATAGGACCTTATTCAGGACCCTATTCAGGACCTTATTCAAGCCCTTATTCCAGGACCTTCTCAGAGCCATGTGAACCAGCTCGGACTCAGATTTCCCATCCCATTAGATTTCCAACATACAGTTAAGACATTGAAGTGATACAAAAATACATATAAAAAAAAAATATATAAAATATCCAAATCAAACGAAAAATTATTAGGCTAAGTGAGTTTAACTTAGTTAGGGTCCGTCCTGTATCTCAGTCTCTACCTGCCAATAAAACCCCTTTTTATGGACTATTTCTTTATAATTGATTTCTTTTTACATCTCTCTTATATAACTCATTTGTTATATTGATATGTGTAATTATCTCTAGTATTTATTAAAGAGTTATCGTAGGTTTTTGGGCTGTGGGACAAATGTATTCTGATGGGAGTATATGAACCAACATATAAATATTTTAAAATGCGAAGTCGGTCCTGGAACCAGTTAAATTCGTATGTAAATTCTGATGTATTTCTAAGACTTTCTGCACCCAAAAAGACGAGAAGCTTCTTAATCTGCTCTGAGAGGGACGTTTAATTTAACTGAAAGAGGTTTGTTAAAGCAGCTAAATGGGAAGCTTTAAGTCTCTTTAGCTTGACTCATCAAGCTCCCATGATGCACCTCTCCTCCCTCAGGGGGGCTCCC